TTATGACTCTTTTTATCTACTCTCGTTGGGAAGGACTATCGTTTATTTTCTTCTTTTTTTCTGTCTTTTTTTGCCATTGTGGGGCACAAATGCAAATTAAAAATAAAAAAGGGACGATCTAGGTAAACGGCCATTCTTTTTCTATTTTTTTTTCGTACACACGTATACGTGCATGCACATTTACTACATGTATATGTATATATCGTTACATATAATTTGCGTGTGTGTGTTGTTTACGAGCATTATCGACGAACCCCTCGGTGAAAGGAACGAGCGCTTCAGTGGTGCGTGACAGAATTGTTCACGATCAGACGAGCATCACGCCTCCACAAATTTTGCACGAACGGTCGATTATCCTTCCGTTCATTTACCTGCGAGCGACCGATTTTCAAACGGGAGATAAATACCTAGGCTTTTCGTGGCACACACACACACATACACACACACACGCTTTCCTTTTTCTTTCTTTTTTTTTTTCGGTTGAAGTCCTTTCTTTTTCTTGCTTTAATCTATTTATCTGTAATATATTTAAAACAAAAATTCTGAAACTGCGTGTAGAATCTTATCATATTATCTTATAAGAAAATTCGATAAAATTGAAATATATTATGGGAATTGAGTTTTCTTTCCAATATTGATATTTCTACTTCTTTTCTTTTCCATCAAATTTTCTCCCTACGTTTAGAGATATATGCTTTTAAATGACAGAAAGACAGAAAAGTTGGATGGCCAAAGTTTGATAGGTAAGTATAGAGTTTGACTTGAAAAATGCTATGCTAAGGAAATACTAAAGTTGAATATAAGAGAGAAGTTACAAATGTAAGCGAAAGTAAAGAAGAATTTCATCTCGTCTATTGATATCAATCAATTCTATTTCATAGTTTTATTTTAATATTATCGAAAAAAAATTAAAAAAACAAGAAAAAACAAATTGTACACATTTCAGGAATGTATAATGCAAAAATGTTTAACTAAAATTAAATTACGAATTTCGTTATATAAAAATTGGTAATTTTCTTGTAAAATATTTTCTTTAAAAGGTTCAAAAAAAAAAAAAAAAAAATTCAAAGGTGAAAATGTTCAAGCAAAAGATCTATACAGAAGCAGTACTGCGTGAGGTCCTGTTTGGTGTAACATGAAAGAACGTATCCCATGGGAGCTAGGAATAGAGGAAACATACTGTAAGCGAGTTTAGGAGCAAGGCAAAGTTTATGCAACCGGACGCGCGCGTTAGATGTCGCACGTAATTGAATATAATTCTTATTCCTCTCACGTATGTCCCGTAAAGCCGTCGTGAGAGTCGGGTAAAGCGGTAAAATCGAGCAATGCATGTTTGCATATATGAACGTACACGTGTTTGTTATATGTATACATATACATAAATAGACAGAATGAGTCACGTAATCTGTTACAAATCGTTTTTATCTTTAAATGTAAATAAAATAAGAGACATCTATACATAACAGAACATAATAATTTGATTATATAAACTAATCAAAACAATAATAGATTGGATCTGTATGACCGAGATATCAAATAAAAACACGTTACATGATTCATGTTAGATATGCATATACCTACCCACGTATATGTATATACGTTTATATAACATATGTTGTCTAATTCTAATGTTTGAACTTTTTTATCTCTTAATTTGTCTATCTCTATCTCTATCGTTTCCGGAAGCAAAATTAGGCTATATAAATTGTCGGAAGAGCGATTAACTAATTTATTAATTTACTTGTTTGTGCTCCCTGAAAGGTTCTGAAAATTCTTTCTTCTTCTTCTCCTTCATCTCCTCCTCAACCTTTTTCTTCTTCTTTGCTTCTATGATACACCTACGCGACAATTAAAATGCTAATAGCTACGATGAAATAATCGTTCCATTCTTTTACAAAGTCGATAATCTGTATGGAGTTAAAGTGGATATTGTCCTGGGACGAAGTGAAGCCTTTCTGTGAAGCCGTCCTATTGTTCCCTACATACTCTACTACCTTTGCGAACTCACCCGGCATAATTTTAGATCCTCTTAACTTATCCCATTCGAGTAAATGAGAGAGAAAGAAGGGGGAAGAGAAAAGAAAGTAAAAGAGAGAAAAAGAGAGAGAGAGAGATAGAGGAAGGGAGAAATAGGAGGAAAAGAAAGTTCCAAAGATCGATGAACTTTACTCGGTGGAAATATTTTCTACTTCCGGTCGATACCGGAAAACTCCGAACCATAGAATTTCCCTTTGGGGCTCGTGAAAAAGAAATTTTAACGAGGTCGTGATTTCTTTCAATCTTTCTCTCTGACATCTACATGTACCTATTTCAATAAGAGAGAGAGAGAGAGAGAGAGAGAGAGAGAGAGAGAGAGAGAAATAAAGCGAATTCATATTTAGTATGAAAAATCAAAGGATTCATTATCGTTTGAAAAGATTTCTTATAAAATAAACCGATTATTTGGTTAAACTGTTAAACACATCATACGTATTATCTCTTTTCTATAAAAGAAAAAAAATCTACCTAAAAAAAAAGATAAGAGAAATGAACGATGATCTTTGAAAGAAAGTAGGATCAATGCAAGAGACGAGAAATTGAAAGAAAAGAAGAAAAGATAGAAGGGGGAGAGGTTTAAGGAAGAAGAAATGAAGGAAGTAGGAAACGTGGGTGGAAAGAGATGGAAATTTAGTTTGCCTCGACGATCGGTAGGCGTCCGATTGAACTACTACCCATGCCAACAACCAAGAAGACGATGCTGGAGTTAATGGCGGAATTAACCTTAATTATCAGACCCTTCTGACTCTTTCATTCTTCCTTTTACGTGCCGACTGAGCACCAATCGTACTATTCCTTCTTTCTCTCTCTCTTTCTTTCTCGTTTAAAGCAAGCTTACCGATTCTTCTTCGATGAGTTTCGGCTTATATTCCCTTCCATTCCTTCTTTCTTTCTTTCTCTTTTGAATTCTTCCATCGTGTCTCTGTACTTTTCTTTTTTCCTTTTATTCTTTGCTCCACCATTCCCTCCCACTGTTTGTACCCTTCCACAAGAGATCTTTTTCTTTTTCCCCATACGACCTCCTTTACGATTTCTTTCAAGGTATTTCGCTTTCGAGTTAGCCGAGAGTGAGATTGATAGAGAATTGTCCTTTGTCCGTGTGTGACCCTCTTTTCTTCGTGTTATCACGTTTACACACCCTTTTTAAACGTGTTCTCCTCTCTCATCGATAGCCTTGCGCACGTATACACTACGTGTATCTTTGCCAAGAGAGTTTTTTTTTTACGTTCAACGTGGAGTCCTCTTTGAAAAAAGAAAAAGAAAAAGAAAAAGAAAAAGAAAAAGAAAAAGAAAAAGAAAAATATAAAAAAAAAAGAGATAAAAAGATGGATAGATAGATAGATAGGATAGATCGATCGATCGCCTTACTACGAACGGACTATCTTAGTTGCATCGGATTTCCATTAACTGGTTGATACACATACGCAAACACACATATTGAAATACACATACTTGTATATATTTATTTACATATCCCTTTGTATCTCCCTCATTAAAAGATATAGAGARAGAAAGAAAAACAAACAAATAAATAAAAAATTAATAAGATTTTTCGAAATGAAAAGCATATCTGCTTCCAACTTTTATTTTCTTTTTTTCTTTTTTAATTTCATATTTATACACATAATAAGCATACGATTACATCGTATTAGGTACTAAGATCATGTACATACACGTAATATATATATGTATATATATATATATTATATATATACATATATATATATATCATTATATATTCAGCGTTTTGTACAATAAATAAAGACTCTAGAGCATTTTTTTAAAACACAACTTTACGTAGTCTCTTGCGTAATTATTTTTCTTCTTTTTCTTCTTTATTTTTTCTTTTCTTTTCTTTTCTTTTCTTTATAGATTACAATTTGAACCAACGATTAACCGCATATACCTACATACACATCGTCTCACAGATTCGCATTCGAAAGGAATCTCATTGAAAACAAAAAAAATGCATTATCATCGTAACGTACGATCATGACAACTAGATCGAATTCGAGAGAGAAGATAAATAATTAAAAAAGCTAACGAACAATTAATATCTCCCCAACAAATTTCAACTATGATATAGATATAAACTTTGTTGTTGTTTTATTTTCTTTTTTTTTCCTTTTTTTTTTTTAAGAAACGCACGGTGGCACATATGTTTATTTATGCAGTTAATAATTTCGAGACACTTCGGGCAGAACTATCATCGTTTTATTCGATCATTTATATCAGGGCTTCTCAAAGTATGACTCATGACCCTATAAGGGGTTGCGAAAATTTGTAGTAAAGGTAAATAATTCTTGAACTCGAGAAATTGGTTTGATATAAATATGCAAATAATAGTATCTTTGATTTTTTGATAGTAAAAGAGAAAATGGAGAATTTATATGACCAGAATCGCGAAAATATTGGCTCATGTAAAAGAGGGTGATTGTGTTAAGTGGAAATGTTTGGGAAACCCTGATCTATACAATATCAGAATAACCGTAACACATTGCAAGGATGATAGTAGGGGGGAGGGTATTATTTAATAAATTGGAGATTTACGATCGACGATTAAAATTTGCCTAGTTTGCGTAAAAAAAAAAAAACAAAAAGCCCAAATTGGCATTGAACGTTTAAGCCACTGCAATTAGATATTTTTTCATCTGTCTCTTTGGCTTTCCTTGATGAGATATCGAAAAATGTTAAAACTTACGAGTACAACGAACTCGGATATTAATCTTTGAAAATTTGTCCTATTACTGCTATTTCGAAGATAGAAAGATATCTACGTTGAAAAGTCTTACTCGTTGAAAAAATCGATCAAAATTGGTTTTTTTAAAATCGATATTGTCATAGGTTTCTCGAAGAAGCCAAAAATTAATGAGTCCGACCTTATAACGTTTATCTTTTTCTATTTCTTTCTTATATTAGTTATTAATTATTATTATAACTATTATTAATATTATTGGTACTTATTTTTTTTTTTATTATTTTTAATTTTTTTTTTCCTATTTTTTTTATACCTTTCTTTTTCTCTCTCTTTTCAAGACAAAATTGTATTCGTAATATCTCATCATACGAACGATTCTTCTTTTACTATTTGTTAAAAGTAAAGTATGAATGAAGGAAGTGATACATTATATATATATTCATACGTATATATAGTATATATATCGAGATATACTTTATATACCCATTTATATGACTATATATTTCAGATGTGTCTAACTAGAATCGATTTAAATAAAAATCGTCAATAATAGTTTCTCTCTATGCTAACTAACAATACTACGTACTCGTGAAGTACTATCGAGAGATATCGATGTCGTTGATATTGAAAAGCTTTATTTCTTTGTTCCATTATTCTTTTCTCTTTTTTTCCTTTTTTTTCTTTTTTTCCGTTATTTCAATGCACACATTTTAAATAAATTTGACGATATTTCGAGTAAGATGTGAATTGATTGAAATCGGAGAAACAATTTTTTTTTTTATTATTGATATAGTGCGAAATTACGAAATGCCATTTATGTCAGAAAGAAAAAAAAAAAGAAAAAAAAAAGGGCGAGCCTTATCCGCGAGATCTACGTGACTCGAGAGATGAGAGAGAGAGAGAGGGGAGTACTCCTTCGTAAAGGATAGGATTGGATTGAATGAATGGAGTAAGGGTGGTATAAGGTGGGTGTAGTAGGTAAGATGGTTGATACGAGAAATCGCGGTGGAGTCCGTGGTCACGTCAAGAGTTTTACTGCGAGGATCTGGAAAGGATAGCTGAGGATAGGAGTGCTAGAAGAGTCGTAGAGGTAACGAGGTCAACCATAGCTCTTCTCCATCCAGCTGCACCGTTCACGCAGGTCTCACGAGTTACTACAATCTTCAGACCTCGTCGACCAAGAAGATTGTGAACCCCTCGTCTGTCAGCCTCACCGAGCGTGTGTTCCCGTGAGAGTAGCAAGGAATAGAGTTGGCTTGTTGGGTATCGCGAGCAGAAGGTCAACACCATGTCCGAGGCTACTGCTTTCATCACGTGAACGCAACCAGTGAATTGTCTATATTTCTTTTCTGCTAACGTTCCTACGACAGAAAAATACCCATGATATTAGAATTTTTACATTTTCCTGTGAATATATATTTTTGTATCGTTCTTACGTTATGCATTTGATATGTATTTGTAATATATCAAACTTGGGTACACATATAATGCATTTTTATATTACACATTTTATTGTACTAAAATCGAAAGAAAATTTGTTGGATATTCTAAAAAATGGTTGGAGTAATTTGTCAATGGGAGATGAATAAAAATTAGTTGTAAGTATAATGGCAAAATTGTTGTAAAGACAATAATTAATTACTTTGATTAGTATATTACGTTTAATTTTATTTGATTATTCTTAACTAAATTTTTCTAATTAATTTTCTATCTATATGTATATAAAGTATTTCTATACATAATAAGAATTCAGTATTTGAGAAACATACCTTTCCAATAATTTAAATGTATTTCATATGTTAGTACGTTAACTCGAAATTTTTGGATGATAATGTATGTAAATATGTATCGATGTATGTATATTAAGTAAATAAGAAGGAAATAATGATGGATATTGTCCCGTTTCTATTAGAATATATCAATAACGTCATTGTGTATTTTTTCTTTTTGTTTGCATGTAAAAGGTAGTCATTATTGCATCCTAGTTGTCAACGGCAGATGAAAACGATAAAAGACATGGGATGAAATTTTTTACATGCCGTTAATTGCTCGATCGGTGAAAGGCGTTTTCAATGAAATGTCAGATTCAGCAGGGATCGTCGACATTTGTAAGAGCGATCATCGAAACGTCACACGCATGAAACGTCGTTCTGTTCTGTTCTGTTCTGTATCGTACCGTATGAGGTGCACGTTAAAACGCGAATTAAAGTTTACATTTGTGACCGAGCTTTTATATACATATGTAATTCTCGTGTCTGCGAGTAGCTACACGTATAATTTCTAATCAAAGGCTAAGTAGCTATCTAACGACATAATGACACGTAATACGAGATACGTGTTCGTATCTTGTTACTCTGCAACACGTTTTCCAAGTGAACGTTTTGACGTGAAACTAAAGTAACTAGGACTCTCACCAAGTGCTAATGGTCAATTTATAAACAGTCATCAAATATTTATATCTTTTACGTTCAACCAAAAGTCACTATCTAAAATTTATGATCATTATGAATCCGAATTATTACTTGTCAAACGAATTGTTAATGAGACGAATCAAGTTTGGAAAAAAGTATGTTTTTTTTTCTTTTAACATTTTCTACCATGCTTTTTCTCTGTAAGAGAGTTAATGTAGTGAACTTTTTTCTTAATTGTTTATAACATTTTAAGTAATGTAAGCTACATTGGTTATTTTTGGCTAAAAAATGTAGTTAACGATGAAATAAAATATCTTTTTCTCTTTTTCCTTTTTTTTTTTTTTGATGAAAGTGACTCTCACTGGATAGGAAACGTGATAAGGTTCTAATAAAAGTGAAAGAAATTAAAGGATCGTTAAAAATCAAGCAAGACTCTGACGTGTCGAATTCAACGATTTCTTGCTCTAACGAACTAACTATCAAAATTAGATAATGATGCGTCGTCGAGGTCGTTAAAGTGACTGTGCACAGATTTCGTTCCTACCTGCTGAACCTTCCTCGCTCATTGGCTGTCAAGTGCTGACCGGGGACGAACGCGAGTGTAAAAATTTACCTCACGTTTCGGGACCCACGAAAATTACGATTTTCAACGTCGAGAACGTAACAAACTCGTTCACCAATCCCCCCCTGACCCTCTTTCTATCCTTTCTCGTTTCTTTTTCTCTATTTTTTAAATCTTTTTTTTCCTTCTCTCTTCGTCTCTTTTTTCTCTCTCTTTTTTTTTTTTTGAGTACGAACTAACGGTCGTTGCATTCTGATGAGATATTTGCGAACAAACCCAAAGAATTTACCGTGGGAAGTAAGTACTTCTCAATTTTCACTCTCGTAAGTCCATAAAACGTCATCTCTTCGAGATCAACGAATTTCAACGTTCGAGTAACGTGATTGTGCATTAGAGTTACGAGTTTCGATTCTTTAAAACGAACTCGTTAATTTATTGCTACGACGACTTGAATGAAGCCTCCGACAATAAGAAATTTATTTGCTCCGTCGCATTCGTTTATTGTGAATTTTACGATCGTTGAAAAATCAAGATTTATTGATAAGAAATTTATATTTTACGATTTCAATATATACGATTACGTGTGAAACAGAAATATATATATATATATATAGAAAGAGAGAGAGAGAGAGAAATGCAAAAAGATTTTGAAATGAAAACAATTTGAAACAAATCTATTAAACAAGCGAAATTTTTATTAAATTATTTATCATTTAAAATCCTCGCATCGTTAAATTTTGCTATGAATTTTCTCCGTTTCCAGTTGAGTTTTATGTTAGTAGAAAAATTGTAATTGTTTGTTCCAAAATTATAAATGAAAAAGAGGAAAAATTTAAAATAGAAAATGGTAACAAATGCGAGGACGATACTTTTTCGTGATAGAACAGAAAGTTTTTCAAAAAAGAAAAAATACTGGGATATGAAAAAATTAATTTTGAATTTGTAAAAAAAAGAAATAGAATGTTGCACACATGTCAACTCGTAGTGAGTTTCGAAACGAGAGAAACCTTTCATATAATATACCTATTACATATGGAATATCAACTAGTTCGATTGATCAAAAAAAATATCGTATACGTGTTTTGTTTCGATGATAAAATTTCTTTTATTTCAACTTTAGAAAAATATGTCCTTACAGATAATTATTAATCGAATATTTTGAATTTTTGTTGGTGTTGGATAGCTATTTGTTTGACTATAATTTAATTTTCTTTTTAATTATAAGTAACATTAACGATCTGCCATCTGCCTTTTTACGATCGAGCTAATATCTCGAGCATGAATTTCTCCTAATCGAAAAGGCAGCTGCATCTATAGTAATCCTGGACAATAGAAAGAAAAGAGAGGACGACCTAGGAAAAAGATAGAATATAAGAAAGAGGAGAACATAAAACGATTGAGAAATTGTTTTTAACCGAGCGCCAGTGCTAATAATTATTTCCAACAGATTGAAATTCATTTTCCAACCGTTGCATTGATTTGAATAATATCAATGGCTTGTTTTTTTTGTTGTTTCCAATTTTTTTCTTACTCTTATCGAGACATAATTAAACGATCAATCGATTTTATTATTTTTATATGTTCGTCGAATTTTATTTATAATCTTTTTTAGAAATAATTCTTCTTATAATTCTATAACGTTTCAATTGTATCATTGTCGTGATAAAACAGTGGTTCCCAAATTGTATACTTTGGTACCTTTATCGTCAAATATTATACCATTTTTGTAATTTTAATTCCATTTGCTCGACTTTTTATTTGTTTCCTTGATCAAATATAACAATAAATATCGTGGAGAAAATCAATACGGAAATGGAAGTGAGGGTGGTGGTCGTGTTCGGTTTAATTCCACGATTTGAGATAATGTGCGGCTACGAACAGATTCATTCGTCCCGCACCAATAATATAGTTAATTAAATTAATTCAATTACATTTATTTGTTATTTTAAATGCGTTTTATTTATTTTTATTTAATCATTGGAAAAAACATTATTGGTTATTCTGTAAAGCGTAAATTTATATTCGGTAAATGCTACGAGAATCGAAAAAGTTTAACCATAGTTTTAAGAAATATAAAAATTTACGTAACGATTATTGAAAAAATGATTATTTCTTTTGGAAGTTTTACTTTTTTTACTCGACAAAAACTTAATCCAACGAAGTCTGGATTTGAAACTGTGACCATCGGTGGTCGTAAAGTTTTTCTTTTTTTTTTTTTCTCAATACTTTTCGGAATTGGAATCATGACCGTGGAGAAAAGAGTTAATGAAAATATGGTAAGGACGAAAAGTAGATTTTGATTTTTAATGGCTGGCCATTATATAATCTCGAAGATAAAGTAACTTTGTAGAGGCTTTATGGTAACTTTATAGTGGTAACTTGGTCGGCCTGTTAATCTAATTTATTCCTCAAACAGTTTCGAAAACTTCTCCTCGAACGGCCTCCAAAATACATCGGGAAGTTTATGCGATCGGTTATCTGGAAGCTTACGATAATCGTTTTCAAAAGAACTTTGCTTTTCCATTGGAAGTTGGTTCATCGAGCTATCTCTTTCTCTTTCTCTCTTTTGTTTCCTATCAAAACAGAGACTTCAAAAAGACGGAATCTATCAAACAGTAAAGTAAATTTCTCTTCCCACCCGTTTCGGACCATCGGAGTTACGTATATTCTCATTGAAGGTTCTTTATTTCCTCGATTGGTTTTCTTCTTCTATTTATTTTTCCATTTATATACACGCTGGAATGATTGAATTGAAAAAACAAAAAAAGAAAAATTGGAAAAAGGATAAAAGAACAATGGGAAGAATAAAAAAAGAAAATATTTGTAAATTCGTGATAGCTTCACGACCTTAAAATTATTTAACATACATTAGAATAAACTTTTTTTCTTGTAATATAAATTATCGATTTGAATAATATGCGTAATACGTGTATAACATAGTTTACATTCAAACAAAAGTCATTAACTATACTTTTGACCGAAAATGATTTATGTAGCTTACATATTGTTTAAAATTTTATAAACAATTTAGAAAAAGTACTCCTTGATGCGTGAATGTGTAATGCGTGAAAGTATATTTTTACGAAACCTAATTGTAAAAATTTGATGAGTAATAATTAGATTAGCATAAATGTTAGTGACTTATATGGCTGAACATAGACGATATGTATAATGAAAGCAAAATACCATTTTGTAAATAAGAGGAAGTCCAGAATCCTGGTCTCCTGGATATGTCAGATATCCGAAACGTATATTCCAAGTTTCCAGCAGTCTCTGTCCAGAGAAGTGTCAGCGAGGAATATTCGTGCGAGTGTAGTTGAACGGTTGGACAGGAATCGAGAACTACGCGATCACTGTTCATAGGTCTCATAGGATCGTTCCTATGTTCAAGAATTTCCACGACATACCATTTGCCCATTATCTGAAAACGGCACATAAATCGATTAGCTTATTATTTATATTCTATTTCCATCTAATTGTAAATTTTTCATTAATAGAATATATTTCAAAGTATTAATGAAAAATATAACGTTTGTATATTTAACAAAAATTATTTACATCGTTTTAATTATACATATGTTTATATATCTTTTAAATTATATACAATTATTGATACGCTACAAATTTATTTTAGAATCACGTAAGAGAATTCAATAATTTTCCTAATAAACGTAGGATCTAAATTACCTGTCGTTTATTATTGTGACAAAATTTACAAAAAAATAAATTACTTTTATTAGAAAAACTAACAGACAAAATTTATAAAATGTTTATCAAATATTTCAATATTATAGTTTCATCAAAATAATTATCTAATATTTTCAATACTTGCCTTACACTCTCTTGGCATCTTGAATAATAATTTTTACAATTTTATGGAATTAATTTGTTTCAAAAAATAAATACGATTGAATTATAGATGCGATCAAAAAAATATTTAATCAATGTATCGGAAATACGTTTTGCACAAATGAAATTACTTTTTGATTGATGAAACATTCAAATTGAAAGTAATTATTAATTTCTCGAACAAACCATTGATTTTCTACATAAATATTAAGAAAAATTGGATACGATTTTCATTTAGATCAACTTTCAATTATTTTATAAAGTGATCAAATTATTTTGATAGATAATGTACTTCAAGAAAAAAGAGTTCATTTAAAGTCCATTTTCTTAAAATAATAATTAATAATGAATAAAGAGAGAGCTTAAAACAAGTATGTAAAAGATAAGATGAAGGAATATATTGGTTGTAACTTATAGACAATTAAAAAGAGAGAGAAAGAGAGAGAGAGAGAGAGAGAGAGGTCTCAATTGTTGAGATAATCCAGGAACTTGATAGTTCTATATTCAGAATGTACATAATGGTACAAAGTGCTTAAACCAAATTACTGGCGATTTATCGAGCACATAATCGCCAAGCGATTAAGTTCTCTCTCACTCTCTCTCTCTCTTTCTCTCTTTCTCTCTTTCTCTCTATTTCTATGTTTCTGTCTCTCTTTATCTAGCACGATTCTAGTGAAATGATAGCAAGCGAATAGAACGAATATAGTCTCCAGAGTATCCAATTCCCGTGGCTAGCCACGAAAATTCTTTTTATACTCTTAAACATTAAATTCATTGACCGAACAATGCGTAATTTCTATGAGAGAGAGTGAGAGTGTATATGTGTGTGTGTGTGCGTGTGTGAGAAAGAGAGAGAAACAGACGTAATTATTACTTATGAATAGAAATTATTAACCAGATTTCCAATGAATTATTTTATTCTCTTACGATTATAATTTTATTCAATCGATTAATTTTCATTGTATGTACATCGAATTTAATTAAATTTCTCTAATATTCGAGATATTTATATATAATTCAAATAAAATTATTTATTAATAATTCTGTTTCTTTTTTTATTGTTGTTGTTGTTTTTTTATTCTTTTCAATGATTTGATGAAACATTTTATTATCAACGTTTTACAAATTACGCCGAGTAAGTAAAGGTTTCGATGAAAGGCTTTAACGGAACTTTAGTAATTTTTTGCAATAAGAGAAAGATAGAGAGAAAGTAGAACTCACTGGAACGCGAACTTGGAAATTCTTTATACAATTTTCATTTGCGAAAGATACAATCAAATAAAATGTTTAATTGAGTCTCGAGCTTAAATAATTGATATCCCTGCAACTGGTGGTGGTACAAGCAAGTAGAAGATTATTTTACATGGAAAAACTAATTGTAAGTAGAAAATGTGGAATAACATTTGTTGATAATTTGTTGAGTACTTGGTGTACTTGACTGAGCTTGCAACCTTGTTCGATAAATATTAGAGTAGAATCGTTGGAGAGTGGAATCAAGCTGAAACTGAATCAAGTGCATGCATACTTGACAAATTTACAAACTTATTTATTTCGAAAAACAAAGCTTTATTTGAACAAATTGTATTTTACATTTGAAACTTAGTTTTTCATATAAAATCATCCACTGTTCGTTTGTACCATCAGTTACAAAGGACTACCCGTAAACACAAGATGTCTCTGAACAAGCGAAAAATAATTTAGTACCAACTTTAACATGTCTAAACAATATATATATATATATATATATATATATATATATATATATATANTATATATATATATAATAATTCTTTCGCTAGGTGAATTTAGTGAAACAGTGACAACGTTGAAATTCTTCCTGAGAGAATTTGATAAAATTTTCACAAAATCCGGGTAACATTTGGACATGTATATATAAAAAGTAAAACAGTCGTTGTGATAAAGTGGGCAGCAGCAGCAGCAGCAGCAGCAGAAGCAGCAGGCTTCACGAGGATGTCATTTTAAATGTTTTTTTATGAAAGTATATTAAAAAATAGAATTTATTCAAAATCAAATCAAGGATATGTGTTCACATGAACCCCTCTTTTTATTTTTTCATTTTATTGCTGTTAGATGTGCTGAAGTGGCTTTAAAAAATATTTCTCATTTATTCTGCTATCATTCTCTATACATACACATATGTACACATAGATACGTATACATAGATATGTATACATACATTTATATATCTATATCTATTTGCAGAATCTCAGTTGCAATTAAAAGTTTCACACGCATGATACCCGAGTCCCTGTCGAATCTCATTCGGCGCGATTACTGAAGCTACCGACGAGGCCAACACGTTTCCTAGTCATACTCGTTCGTTTTATCCTCTACGTTTAATAAACGCAACGCATACGCTTACGTGCATACATATACATGTATACATACTCGACTATTTCTGCAAGTTCACGCGCGCACGCGTGAAAATACGTAGTACACGATTTTACTGTCCTCGCGTTATACTCCAAGTACAGTCCGAAATAAACCTCGAGAGATTTTCTTTCTTTTTTTTTTTAATACTATTTTTGTCATATGGAGAGAGAGAGAGAAAGAAAAAAGATAAAGAGAATAAAAATCGATATCGACAAATTATTACAAAATTTGTGCCATTTTCTTTTTCAAATATTATGAATTTTAGTGCGAATATACTCGCTTTACCTTTGAACTAATTAAATCGTACGCAATTTATCGATTAAATGTCACTGATTCAATCTGTTTTCGTATGTATATACGTATATGGATATGAAAATAGTTCAAATAAAACATGAATGTTTTTTAATTTTCTCATATCGGAATTGTCGACTGTAATCATTGTTCCCGACTGTACTTGATATACAGAGAACAATGCGAATAACGCAGCCCTGATATTCGGTAGTTCAGTTTGCCTGTTCATTACTTTAATTGGATCGCGTCAGGCCGAGAAATTACGCAACCTTTTAATAGGTCACCAGCGAATTTCAAAAGGATTCGTGGATGGTGTAAGCGAGAGAGAGATAGAGAGAGAGAGAGAGGAAAAATGGCATAGAGCAATAGCTCGTAATAACCCAGGTGGACGAACATTTTATGAGCGTACAACGCGACGTTAGTGATCCTCGTAGCTCTCTTTGTATTTCCCATTCAGTTACGAAGATCGTAGGGTTTAACGATAACCGGCCAACGTTATATACATTATATTCAAAGTCGGCAATTAATCGAATACGTGCTTCTGACGTTTTATGTTATTATATTTTTTTTTTTCTTTTTTTTTTTTTTAACATCACTTACTGCATTAATCGATTTTTAAAACGAGCGTGGTATTGAAAAAGCAACAAAGTAAAACATGAAACAAACAAAAGTAGATGCGAATTAAATTTTAATTAATACAAATGCTAGAAATTTGAGGATAATATTTATAAAATGAAAACAGATAAAAGTAATGTTATAATTTAGATATTATTTAATTGGTCTATAGTAAATGTAGACAATAAAGAGATCTATAACGTACAAAGTCTCTTCTGTAGCACGAATCAACGAAGCGTGTGGTTCCTTGTAAGCTCACAGTTACACAATAACGTAATAACCGTCAGCAAAAGATCGTCCCTTTATGGGGCTATTCGCGAATAGATATTTCCACGAGGCAACGGTACGACAAATACGAACACGAATAAACAAAATTATATATATATATAGAGAGAGAGAGAGAGAGAAAAAGGGAGAATATATGTGTGAGTATGGGGATGCTCTCGTGCAACGTGCATACGCCATCCCGGTTTCTCTCTAACCTTTATTTTCGTCGTAAATTATTGTCATTCTATTGGATAGTTCTCCTCCTCCATTCTATACTCTCTCGCAATGTGGTCGTGGAGCTTTAAAATTAACGACATAGTAAATACGTTTCTGGCCAATCGTCCAATGCGAGGGAAGCTCTCAAAGTCACCAAAAAATATCGAATTGTTCGATGATCCAAGCATACAACACACACACATACTCTGATTTTGATTATCCGAATTTTACAATTATGCACGAATTGATCGTAGAAGAATTAATGATTGTTGTTTCACCGTTCGAAATCACTTGTAAAGGACGAAAACGGTATTAATTACTTTTACGATCGATGATGTTCTATTTTTATTAAAAAAAAAAAAAAAAAAAAAAAAAAACAACCAAAAAGGAACTACGGTAATGAAATTCTTCATTATTAGAAATTTGTAATATTGCATGAAACAAAATATAATTATCAAGAATTGATCGTGAAAATATAATATGTATAATTATGCTAAATTGTAATATGACAAAATTGAGTCGTAACTCACGATTGAGTTAAATCGTAAAATAAAAGGATAATGATTTTTAAAATAAGACAAAGTAGTCACACATGTTGAGAGGAAAGAACAAAAGGAAATAAGAACAAAAATAATAAAAAAAATTTTGGTGGACAGGGACTGGAAGGTTTGGAAAAGAAAGAAAAGAAGAAAAACGGAGGGAAGAAGACAAGATATGGATTTGCTCGTCAAAAGTCGTAAAGATGCAAATGCACGTATTCTTGGAAAAATTGCCAGCTGTCGAGGTGTG